GTAGCAGGCAAACAGCATGGGAGAGGCCCTTCCCCACAGAAGCTCCAGCACGAGGGATCTGGCAGGAGGGGGTCACACCAGGCGAGCCTCAAGGAAGCCTGTGGAAGAGGCAGATTAGGGAGGGAAGCTTCTCATCTCCCCACTTACTATGAGGTCAGGGCTCCCAAAGGGCTGTAGGGAGGGAAAAGTGGGGGTACATTTAGTGAACACCGCCATGTGCCAGGTGATGTTCTGGGCATAGTACACGATCAGCCTTGCTTGATCCCCAGTGAGAGTCCCCTTTTGCCAGCCATAAGTTCAATGGAAAGCGCCTCCAAGAAAAAACGCTGGGAAGGTGCCATTGTTCTAGGGAAAGGAGGTCTGGTCAGATACAGCGGGTGCCCTGCCATTGCGCCAGAGCCAATGCACTGTAGCAGAAGGAGGTGGAGGCCTGGCCCTAGCCGGAACTTGGTGGTTCCTGCCATGGGTGGGGCAGGAAGGGGCCACAGGCTTCATGGGCTCATCATCTCAGAGCTCACCTGCTTCTCTCCTGCCCCCCAAACTGATAACTGATAAAGCTTAGGCCAGAAAATATCCCCCTCCCTGCCACCAAACCAGGCAGGCAGAAACAGGGCCCCAGAAAGACACAATTGGTAGAGAGGCAGGTCAGGGTGGCAAGGAAAGGAAGCAAGCTGATGGCACCTATCTAGCCATGAAACATTGGAAGACAAGAGTTTTAAAGGCAGGGATGCTGTGGTAGGCAAAGGCCAGGAAACATCTTTTTAAAGGGTTTCAGAGAAGGCACAGCTGCTGCTAACATCAGGTCCAGAGGGTTCCGCCTTGGCTGGTGGGGTCCTGGAGTTTGTCTCTCCCAATACTCCAGGCTGATGCACCTTGAAGCTCTGAGTTTGATGGGGTTAACTGGGTAGCCCTGAGGGTTTGTGCAGAGAAGGTGCCAGGCCCTAGCGGTCCCTCGGAAGTCCAACTCCTGTTCCCTAGAGAGCCCAGTAACTTCCTGGCCTCTGGAGGCAGCTCTTTGACTGGATCTCTCATCAGAGGGGTCCTGCACCCATGGACCTCATGTGGCACTTCTGATGGTGCTCGTGTGTGTGGCGGTGTAGACAGAAGCAGAGCATGGTCCTCTGTGGATTCTGACAGACAAAACGATTTTGCTTTGGACAGGCCTAAAGAGTATGATCTTGAAACAGCAGTCCCTAGAGTCAAGGGTAAAGGGACACGAAAGGGGCTTGTTGATTCTTGCGTAGAAGTGAGAGGTAACCCAAGAGGAACCCCAAAACCATGGGCCAAAGAGAGGTTGGCTTCTGGGAGGAAGACCATGAAAACTAAAGATTGGAGCAAGGGACCAAGGGCCATGGGAGACCCAGATACAGGAAAGGAGACAGGACAACGAGATAAAAAATGGATGGATACAGGGAGGCTAGGAAGGTGGTAGAGTGCGGTGTTTGCAAAATCAAAGTGAAAGACATGTTGAGAGGTTAATTTTTCAGCGTCCTGTAGCCTGGAGGCTGGGAGGCACAGGGGATGAGGAAATGGGACAGGAGTGGTCAAAGTGCTGGAGACCCAAGTCCTGAGTGGCAGGTGGGGATGGTCTGTGAGGTGCTGGGCCTCACCCTCTCCCAGGCAGGCCTGATTGGGTGGAAGTCTGAAATATGAGGCTAGGGCTGCCAAGACTCCAAGACTTTGATGGTCCTTAAACTTGGTGGGGCCAGTCCACTTGAGAACCAGTAGCACCCCTTCCTGGCCCCAGCTAAAGTGAACTCAAGGTTGCATGGGGGAGTGTCTCAGCTCTGCCCCTGGCCCCAGCTCCACCAGGCCCAACTGGGAAGACAGGCTTCTCTGTGAAGCCGGCTCCTCCTGGCCCTGGGCTGGCAGGAGAATACCAGCACAGCCCCAGGGCCCTGTATGACAGAATGAGAAAGTTCATCTAGGAATAAAGTTGTGCTTAAAAAAAAAAAACATTATATACACAGCTCTGGACATCTCTGAAGAACAATAAAATACTATTGGTTTCTACAAAATAAAATAAGGAGGAAGAAAACCAAACACGATCAGAGGGATTGTTCCGTGGCGAGGGGAGCTTGACTACTAAAACCAAAGGCTTCCCGGAGCAGAGCTGGGCAGTGCACCCACGCGGCCACTCCACCTCCCTCCTGCTGGGCTGTGTGGCAGTGGGTAGGTGAGAATGAGGCCTGTCTCCATTCAGAGGCACATCAAAGGTCCAGAGTCACTTCTCAAACCAGAACTTGTGGCAGCAGCAGGATAGGAAGGCTTGCATTTATTTGCCCACTCAGTACCCAGTGGGATCAGGGGTTGGTCACATGATCTTGGCACTGCAGGTGAGGTGGGGGCCTGCTGCTTGTGCACAGCATCCCACTTGGCTGCACAGTCATCCTCACACTTGTCCTTTTATTAGTGGGACTAAGTCTTATGCAGTTGCTACTTCGGAAGTCACCGAGGAGCAGCTGGGCTCTCCCTTGGCCCCTGCAGGGCCCAGCTCAGGCTAGTGCAGTGGACTGTCGAACACCATGTCAGGTAGGATGGAGACTTTCAGCTTTTTTTCCGGCCAGCTGTACTCTTTGGGAAGTTTGAACTGTGGAGGAAGCAAGCACAAAGCCAGAGTGTACATGGTTAGCAGAACCCACTGCCTTCTTCCCAGATTGCCTAGAGAGCAGCCAGGACCGTCACCCAGGCCTGTCTTGGGGTGTTAGGAGCAAGACAGGGCACTGGTTGCCTGGCTTCAATATCGAATGCTAGACCCAGGTGGGTGGCTGGGGTCAAGATGCTGGAGTTCAGTCACCCCTTCTTCCCCCTCGCCTGGCCAGGCCAATAATTAACTGGGGCTGGCGGGAGGCATGTTTTCTAACTCTTTCTTGACTGTGCTGACCTCCCCCCCAGCCCACTTCCTTGGTTCTGCCTCTGGCCACAAGCATGTAAGGAATCTGCTCCCTGAAGCCCTGGGGCAGGGGGATGGGGGGCAGGGGAGGGTGCAGATGCTACAGGGAAGTGGCTTGAGGTCTGGAACTCTGCAGTCCTGTCCCTGCCATGGCTTCTCTTTCAGAGGCTGGAGTGGAAGGACTCTCTGGAGGGTCCAAGAGAAGAAGGCCTCTGGGGGAGCAGAGGAGCAAACCCTCTATCCTGTTCCCCCTTGTTCATTCTCATCTGCTTCCCAGGGTTACCAGCCTGACAGTGGTCTCAGTGGTGGCCAACCCTGGCAATCACTGATTTGCTTATAGCTTTGTTTCTAGAGCTCTGGTGAAGGTCGGAGGAAGAGGCTGACGTATCTCATTCCTTCTGTATTGTATGACCCTGCATGTGGTCAGGCACACAGCTGGTGCTCAATAGATGCTCGCTGACTTAAAAACAGGGTCTGCCTTTAATGACTCCCACTGTCCCAGGGCTAGGTGAGAAGCCAGGCCAGGCTCCACAGGAAGGAAGAGCAGGTCCTCAGCCTGCCTAGAACTGGGGTTGGACGTGAACAGGCCTGACACTTCCTGGCTGGCTCCCTTTCCCTCCCTCTGATGGGGGACTGTCCAAGCCAGGACTAAAGTGGAGAGTGGGGCAGGGTGTGGGGACAGCCTCTGGACAGGAAAGAAAAAAAAGTCATTTTTAGTGACCTACTTTCCTAAGCTTCTCCTGGCTTCTGTCCCTCTTGCCTGGACTACCCCCCTCCCACCTCCTCAACACCCAAGCTCAAAGCAGCAGTCTGGCGCAGTGCCATCTCAGTGCTACATGGCCTCTCCGGAAGCTCTTCTGGGCAGCTGGCTTTGGTCTGACTGAATGGGAGCTGGGCCTCAGGGACCAGTGACTTGTGGGGGTTGACTGGCTGGCACAGACTGGGTGCTTGGTGACTTCTGAATGTATAAACGAGTTAATTTATCAAGCTGTATCCCAGAGGATAGAGAAGACACTATCCTATTAGGGGTGACTTCAAGCTCTGAGAAGTTCCTGGCCACCTGGAGACCTGGACAGGACAGTCCCACCTGTGTACTCTCCTCCACCCCGTGGACGACGGAGGCCACAGTATACTGGCTGACGAGGCCCTGGGAGTCCTGGCAGCTGGGAGCTCCAGCCCTGGCTGAAAACTAGCTCCTGCCTGGCCTCTCTCTGGCTTGAAAGCCTGGCCCCTGGGAGGTGAAGGAGCTCTCCCTCAAACACACTTCCCGGCAGAAAAGGCAAGGGAAGGGCCTGTCTTTGCCACAGGCAGGGGAGGGCCCAGAAGAGCTCTCCAGAGGCTGGAGGCCAGGCCAGCTTGCTAATGTTCCACTAACCTATGGAGCATCAAGGCCAGGAAGGCTCAGATCCCGCTGGAGTGCTGCTTAGTAGGAGGCCGAGGGAGGGGAAGGGACTTTCCAGGATGAGGTAAATCCCCACAAATGAGGATGCTGGGAACAGGAAAGAAAAGCAAAGGGGATTATGGGCTCCACTCCTGTACCTCAGAGGAGTAGCCAAGGCAAGCCCCCACCTGGCCTGCCAGCTCCTCAGGCTCTGGGCTAGGGTTGGAAGAAGCGAAACAAGAAGAATGAGCTTATGGCTGCAGAAGGGAGGGAGAAGAGTGGCTCCTGGGTGGCCTGGGCAAGAGCAGGAGTCCCTTGCTGCCCACCAGAACTCCCCAGTGGAATGTTCTCTGGCAGCAGGCATGGGCTTTCTGTTCAGAAACTGCCAGGGAACTGCAGGGGCTGGGGAGAACTCATACTAGCCTGAAGGCCCTGGCTGCCTCTTCAATGAGGTTCTCAGGAGCCGGCAATTCAGTTTGCTGGGTGTCCTTACTAGGGCTGGGGTATTGGAAAGACAGAGAAATAAAGCTGTTTAACATCTCCAGAGTCTCCTTTCCAGCCTATCCCCATACCCGAGAGAAAAGAAGGGAAGGAGAAGGGGAGGAGGAAGGAGGGAGAGAAAGAGAGGGGGGGGGGAGGGACAGAGAGAGAGACAGAGAGGCACACACACATTTTCTCTTTCCTGGAGACTAGAACCTGCTGTCAGAGAGAATCAAACAGGCTTACTTCCTCTGGAGAAGTCAAATCTTCTAAGTCCTCCAACATTTTCTCTACAAACTCTTCAGTCAACAGAATCTGGGAAACAAAACAGAAACAAAACAGGCTTTTATTTTATATTTTCAATATATGATCTTTTTGCCAATTGCCAAACTATGGACCTTTCTTCTGGTCATGGAGGAAATATGAGCCCATGGTGATCTGTTCTAAGGACAGAGAGAGGTGCTTGAGGCCTATCTTGTCACCTGCCCCCACCACCTGTGTGCAATCTGAGGGACTAGGGTAGAGAAGGAAGAACATCAGAGGACAATGGGGAAGCAAGGTGGGGACATGTGGAGGGATAGCAGTGCTGACCCCAGAACGGATATGGAAATGGGTGGGAAAATACCCTTTTTGGCATTTTGGGCCTCCTGCATGTTGCGGTGCAGTAGAAGAGAAACAAAAGTCAAGGGACAGAGAAGAGCGACTGCCAACATCCTTCTTGCCCAACCACGTCACGTGCTCCCTGCCCCCCAACCAATAGGACAAAAAGAATGTTTGTTTTTGGAATACCAGCCTTGTATGGAATCTGGAAATGCCCCAGAAGGTACATCCAAGAATGTGAGTTGGGGAATTTGGAAATTGTACCAATCTCTCTCATTTTACAAATGAGAAAGGGACTCTCGACTCCCATTTCCACCTGCAGAATTCTCTCAGTCTAGAAGCTCCTAAACCTCTGTCCTTCTGGCCCCATTCAGCCACTGAGTTCTTCGAAACTTCCTTTGAGAAACCTCTTCTACAGGTCACCTCCCAGCTATCCCACTTTGCTGCTCTAGTCTGACGCCTTGTCATTTTGTATGTTGATGTCCAGGGCAGTCTGGCCCCACTATTTGGCTGGCACAACCACCATCCTTACCCCCAAAGTAGTTTTGACAGCCCATGGGAATGTCCAAGGCACTCGGGCCTTCCTCAGCCTGATGGGTCCCTTTCCCAGCCAGCTTCTCTCCTCATGCAGTCTCTGTAGAGCCAGACCAAGCTCACCTCAGGGCTGCACCACACCGGCCCAGGCTGAGGCTGTCTTTTCCCAAGTTGAGCCCTTCCCTGGCCCCTCTCCTCCCTGTGCTGGTATATGGGGCCTCCTGGCCTCTGAACCAGATCCTTCTACATCCCAGGCTGTGGCCCTACCTACCTCTGCCTTGCCTCCTCCAGCAGACTTTGAATGCCCTGGGCAGGACACAGAGAAAGAAAGACAATGGGTGAAAATGAAGGTGAGGAGCTTCTCTGAGGGAAACCCCCTCAGAGGATGGGGATTGGAGATCAAGAACTCGAGAAAATACTCATCAGGTTTCCCCTGGGAGTTGTTCATTCTGATAAAAACATAAGTTTCAACATTTAGAACATAGTCAGCTTGTGAGATGAAGTGAAATGGCAGAGGAACCTCACAGGATGGAGGGCTCCAAAGGAAGGAAATTGATGGGGTGGAGGTGGGAGCAAGAAATAAAACCACCCCAGGCGACCGGACCAGCTACTACACCAGGCACCTTGCTAACTGCTCGTAATCTTCTCTTCTCAGTCTCTTTACAGATGAGGAAACTGAGGCACAGATAGGTTACATAATTTGCCCAACATCACATAGCTGTGAGCAGCTGAGATAAGACCACATCCCAGTCATGTCTGGACTCCAAAGTTAGTGCCTGAAGTACTGCTTCCAAGCCCCACACATTTACTCATTCTTCCACTCATCTGCCCAGCAAGCAATTCGATTCCACAGCATTCCCTGGAGGCCTCTGTTAGGCCCAGCCCTGGGTAGAGCCCCAGAGACAACAGGCATGAAGGTAGCCCACAGCTGAACATGCCCCCTTTCTTGGTTGACAAGGAATCAAAGAACATCTCCTTCCCGGGCTGCAAGCCCCCAGTCAGGAACAAAACAGCTCTGACCACTGGCCCACATCTCCTCACCAAAGTTTCTGTTTGAGGAGTTCAGGTCCCAAGTGAGGACAGACAAGGTTCAGACAAAGTCATCCAAGGAAATGCCTGCCCACGGTGCCCCTCCCATCCGGTTCGTCCTCCAAGTTCCCCACAGTGGGGCTGGCTGACTCCCCTCACAGACTATGGTGACTTGTCCCCAGTCACACTCTGATCCTCCCACAGTCTGAGCCCTTGTGCCTCCTCCTCTTATCCCAGGGGTTTTCCCCCACAAAAGTCCAGAGTTCCTCTACCAGTTATCACCAGTCTGCTTGAGTAGTACAAAAGTCACATTCATATTTCTGTCATTTCCGGGGCTTGTTGCCATCTCTGCAAATGCTAACACAAACACAAGCATACCTAAACCCAATTATATTGCAATGGCTCCAGTCCGGGCTGATTTCTAACCCACAAATAATTTGGAGGGAGAGACTTTCTGCCAGAGCGGTAAATAGGTCTGGGACTATAACTAGTGCTGGGGTGAGATGAGTGGAGAGCTTGCAGGGACTATGGCCACCCAGTGAGACTCCAAAGAGCTGTTTTTAAACAATCGGAAAGGTAACCCCACCAATGCTGAGTTCAGTCCTAAACCAGTTCCTCTGACAAAGGTATAGATAGAACTGGTGGTAGAGAGAGGGTGGGTTATGGAGGCTTTTAGTGGAACAGCTACCAAGGGTATAGTGTACCATCTGTGTGAGGACTCATTTTGTACTCAGCTCAGGGAGGGGATGGCAGGACCAAAAAAAAAGGACAAACCCTAGTTGCTAGTCAATTTTGACTTTTGGTGATTTGCTGGTTCCTAAAAAAAACACATTATTTTAAAGGACCCAAACAGGGGAAAATTATACATGAAATCTGCATGGTATTAAGGGTGACATTCCCTGTAAAAAACCACGACAGACTGTCATAGCTCCAGGCACCTAATTTAATTTCCTTTGGGAGTTAAACCTTAGACACTTAGGTTCAACAAACAGGCCCTGTTTTGTATATTTCAGACCTGGAGCTGAGAATGTTAACAGATCTTATCAACAGGACACTGGAGATAGACAGCTATGATGGAGCAGCTCCTGGACGTTCTCACGAGCAACAGACTCGCTGTTGTGATATAACTGTGGGAAAATCCTGTGCAATTCTGGGGCTTGGGGTTCTTGAAGCTCATTGAGTCCCCACAGAGCTGCCTGGCTCTGCCACCAATAACAAAAGGAATGTTTATGACAATGACAGTAGTAATGATAACACTACCAATAGCAGGGGCAGTGTTTCCTCCATGTGCCAGGCACTGGGCTCGTTGCCTGACCTGTATCATTTCACTTAATCCTTATGACGGTCCTGTAAGAGAGGAAACATCATCTCCATTTTGTAGATAAGTAGGTGTCAAGAGGAGACAAGTCTCCTGGACTTTAGAACAGTGATCTGACATCACGGTAGTAGAGGATGCTCTTTTTCTGTTTGGGGAAGGTATGTCAATTCTAGAAGCCTTGTGTATTCTGTGCTGACTACTCTCTCTACTCTGATGGGGAGATTAAGATGACTCTGGCTTTGACCAATAGCCTAGAAAACCAGCAATCCCAACACCAACCAGCCACATATCTCCTGACCACTTGCTCAGCTCAATGGGGCTGGAACCCTGAGGGTCATAGACTTATAGCCACTGGAAAACCAGGTTGGCCAATTGGAAAGGAAGGCAAACCATGCCCAAAGTTGGCTTCTAAATGGGGACAGCAGGGCAAATTTTCAGGTCAGCTCGGTGAGTGCATGCATAAGGCAACAGGTACTTTAGCCCAGAAAATAGCAGTAGAAATAATAATAGCATTCAATGATGTCTGTCCAAGAGCTGGTCATAAAATGCTTATGTTTGTGTAAAAACAGCCCTCAGAGGGAGGAAACTCTCTAGTGAGAGGGGAAAGCCCCTCAGCCAAACTCTCCTGGGAAGCTTTTGAAAATATGGAGATGCAGGCCCCATCTAGACCTTCTGAATCAGAATGTGGGGGCGAGGTCAAGGCATCTTCATTTTTAAAAGGTACCGCAGGAGATCATGGTGGGCAGAGTGCTAGGAAATACTCCAACTCACAGGGGAAGAGGGTATGGGCACAGGCTTAACCAATAGGGGTGTTGGTGGCTGCAGCTCTACCACCATCTAATTGGCTGAGCTGGGAGGGCAGCTGTGGCTCCTCAACTCTCACCCTTACCCCACCTTTGGCTAGGGAGGGGGCTTGGAATCTAGTCTAGCAGTGTATGCCAAGGTGCTCACACCAGGCGCCTTAGAACAGCCTGGCTGGTTGGTGATGACGGAGGATTGTCAACAACTGCCCAATTCCCCAGCCTCCAGCAAGTTCCATAAGGAACTCAAAAAGTGATCTTTCGTCAGTGCCTGTCCTGGGCAGGCCCAGCTCTGCTGCAGGCAGAAGCCCGGATGCTGCAGATTTGATTCAAATGTCTGTGGTCAGTGATATTTCTGAGTCTGCATACAGTGCTGACAATGCCCACTCCTTCCCCTTGGAATGACAATCCACACTTTGTCTGGGGCTTTGTTTGTCCTTCATGTTGACACGTTGTTCTTGCTTCCCAACAAGTTTGGCTTTCTTTTTTCCTCCCTTTCCTTCTCTGAGGGAAGGAAATGTGTTGTTTACAGGGTAGGGCTTGCCAAGGAGCTGCTCTGGCACCCACTATGGCAGTGGAGGAGGCAGGGATGAGGAAGCAGTCCAGTCTGCATCCTCCTCACCCCAACGGGCCCGACACAAATCAGAAAATAGCCTGGAGACCCTCCAGGCTTGAGGGCAGGTGTGTGTGTGGCAGGTAGAGCTGCAGTGGTGGCACAGCAAGGCCTCACTCATTTCCTGTTCTTGGTGGGTGGTGAGAAGTCGGTTTTGGTGGCCAGGAGCAGGCTCAGACTTCTCTTGCTCTGGCTGTTGCTGGTGAGGGCACAGCCAGCCATCCCAGTCCTCTTCTGAGAGGGAGGGTGTTGTACTTCTCAAGGCACAGCGCTGAGTTTTAAACCCTAGTGAGTGTACCCCTGGACAATGAGGTCCCCAGGGTATACCTCTGGACAATGTGGTCCCCATGACAGCCTAGGCAAAGTCCTCCAGGGAGAACATGTTGTGGCCGGGTTCACCAGTGGAAGGAAAAAACAGCAGAGACATTGAAGAGGAGCTGCCCAGGGCCAGGGCCAGGGCTTGCCAAGTGTCTTCCACATAATGTCCAAGTAGGCAGATGGGGACAGGAGAGGGCAGGGGCTTGTCCAAAGGACACTGGTGAGTCAGTCACTGGGCTAGGAGAAGAGCCCAGCAGTGAGTCTCCAAACCTGGCCTGAAGCAGCAGAGCCCACTTGGAACAGCTGCTGGGCATCTTCTCCCAAGCCTGGGCCTCCCATCAGGGCTGGTAGCGAATGACTGAGAATGGGGCGCCAGCTGGGTGAGCTGTCAGACACCACACAGCTGAGAAAGCATTGCAGGGCTTTAAAAAAATATTCTCATATTTGGTGATGTGACCCCCATGTGACCTCTGAGGCCAACTTCAACCCCTTCAGTTCAATCCTGGCTGAAGACAGATGAACGACTCAGCTCTGGGCCAGGCTTCTGCTCAGAGGACTAACAGCCTGGTGATGACAGACTCAAGGGAGAGAGGCTTGTTAAAGCCACTGGGATGAGGAATGCTAGGGGAAGGTGTACAGGAGAGAATGCTGGCAGCCCTCCCCCAGCTGAAGACCCTTTTGCAAAGCTCTGGAGTTTGCTGATATGCTTTCCCATCTCAGTGAGGAAGAAAACAGCAGATGGTAAGGCAGATGGAGTCAAGGTGTCGACCTCTGGAACCTAAGAGCCTCTGGAGTTGGAGCAGGATTCCTGCCTCTCCAGCTCCTCCAGGAAGCAGGGAGTGTCCACTGTGCTCACCCGGAGGTTGCAGATGGCCCTGTCTTCCTGTGTGCTGGGGCCTTGACTTTCCTGATGCTGGAGAAACAGGGGAGGGGAGAATCATGGAGGGCAGGTGCAGGCCCAGGAGCAGGTGGGTGTAGAGGCCTGGCTGGGGCCACTTACGAACTCCAGACAGGGCTCAGAGTCCCTCAGCTTCTGCCTTTTTCTCTCAGCCTCCCCTTTGTCACTCTCCCCCAATGTAGGGTGTCTTTGCCATGCCTTTTCCCCAAGAGATAACAGGCCTGGGCTGGTAGCCAGAACAAGGTGCCAAGGCTGGGAATGAGGGCTTCCAAGGCTGTTGAAGTCTGATGCAAGAAAGTCATCCTGGCCCCTCCCGATTCAGCTGGGACCAACAGGGAGGTTCAAGCAGCAGACAAAGAAAACAGAAGTCTGAGTCTCTTTAAGTCCTGGGTCTGCTGCATTTGCTCGTTTCTGGCTCCTCTGCCCCAACAGGCCTAGGCACACAGGGCCCAAGGATGTACGCTCGATCCTAGGAGCATGAGCAAGAGAGTGAGGCGGTGAGGGCAGGCCTCTGTGTTAGGGTCTCCCCTCAGAGGGGAATGGGGCCCTTCTTGGCCCAGTGTAGTGGGCCCTCACTGGTGATGAGCCTAACCCCAGGCCTCTAGGAGGTCCTGCAGACTTCCAGGGAGACAGCCAGCTCCAGAGGGAGACCTAGAGGCACACGAGTAATTAAAGGCCCAGGGTCCCACAAGCTACAGAGCTGCCTGTGACCAAAGCGGCAAGACCCTAAAGGGAACGCAGGCTGGCGGTCAGATGCAGAAAACGCTGACTGCTTTGAGGGTGGGGAGGAAGGCGGCTGTGGGTGATGGCTCCACAGCTGAGGACCCGCTGGGGGCAGGGTGAAGGGTTTCCCAGGACTTCTTGGAAAGGGCCTGAGAAACCCCTTGGTGAGTGAGGGTATGTGCTTGGGGAGTGGGGCCCCAGCCAGCCTTCCTGGGAGCTCCCCTGTGAGCTGGCCCCTGTGGTGGACCACACTAATGAGCCCATAACACAGGCCTTTGATTAAGCAGCTCCCAGCACAGCAACTTTATTGAAACATGCCGAGGCCAGCGGCTGGTTCCCACCGCTCCCGGTTCCCCAGGCAACAGTGCATGGGAGGGGACCACGTGCATGAGAGTCAGCAGTGCCTGAGTGCTCAAGCTCACTGAGGGGCTGCTGGGGAGGCGAAGAGGAGTAGAGCTGGAGTGGAATGCCAGCAGTCAGGAGTAAAGGGCTTGGGAATTGGGGTTGGGTCCAGAACTTTGGGGGGACTGAGGGGCGACGTGACATCTGCTGAGTCCTCTGGGTCCAAGATCCTCAGGCTGCTGAGAATTGGAGATGCTGACCCAGCCCCCTCCTCAGGGAAGGAAGATGTCCCAAGCGGGAGGTGGGATTCCGAAAACAGGTTCAGAGTTGACTGTGTAAAATATAACTAGGGGGAATTTCTTCTTGAGTTTTGGGAGACTCCAGACCCCACTTTGCCAAGAAAATGTGCCTGAACCTTCAATACACACAAATGTTATCTGAGGACAGCATTCTGTCATCTACTGGGAATGATGACCTGTGAACTCTCAGGGGCTGGGGTCTCCTGCATGGTTCCCACCTTCCCTCTCCTTACCAGCTCTGCTTAGGCAAGAGGCCAGCCCCCTTCCTACTGTCCAGAGGCAGCCTGGCAGCCTGGGACAGTGCTGGGGTGGGAGGCCCTTTCCACTTGAGCTGGGCTAATTTCAAATGTTACACTTCAGAGCTTTTGCTACAGTAACTACCAACACCACATAGACAGAAATCTAATGTTACCAAGAGGGACTTTTAAAATGTATTTATAACTTTATGGTTCAAAGTAATTTTGTTATGAAACAATGTAATAACAACAGTGGAAAAAGGCAGGATAATTTATGGTACACAATATCCCTAAAGTACCAGCTTCCATTTCTACCTCAGCTGAGTCTGGGGAATGTGGTTGGTGTCCTTTGTTTGCTGTTTGTTTTAATTGAAGGTTAGTATTTGTGGGGGAGGGGGCGGGGCCTAAAGAAGAAATTCAGCTGCAAGACCATACACACACAGGCGGAGAGAAAGCCTGCCTAAATTAATAGTATATATGCTTCAGACGACCCCCCAGACCAGGTTACACCCACACAACTCTCCCTCTACTGTACTTTCCCCACCTCCTAGCCCTACACCACAAAGAAGGCAGGTCACCTTAGGATTAGGGTCAGGTTCCCTTTCTTGATATTTCTGAGAGGTAAGGTAGAGTGTCTCTCCTCTCGCACCTCTAACAAACAACAAAAAATGATGTTGTTCCTCTAATACATCAGGGAGTGTGCTGGACCAGGCCGAGTACCTGTGAGACTTGAAACAGGGTGGGGGCTGGAAGGAGGCCCATGGCTCCCAGGCCCCAGCACTCCGCTTGGCAGTGCTCTGAAGCTGTGCTCCATTCAGAAAAGCAAAGGAGGAACAACGTGTTCTGGACAAGTCAGCAGCTTCTGTGTAGAGAAGCTGGGTTTCCATCAGGAGGAATAGGAGAGCCATTAGATGAGGGGTGGGAAGAGGCTCTGCCTGCTGAGACCTGCTAATCCCAGGTCCAGGTCCAGGTCCACATGCCCGCCTTCTAGGAATTCTGGTGAGATTTCCATATATGTACTCAAGAGTGGCTTCCATACTTCCTTCCATCCTATTTCTCCCTTGGTACCCTACTCCTTGGTTTACCCAGGGTGCAGAACATGTCATATCTTGCAAACCTGGATTTCTCTGGCAAAGAGAACTACCAATGGCCAGGGCCTGGAGAGTTATTATTCATGTCTCAAGTGATAGGAGAGAGGCCAAAAAGTGCTCCTGGAGCTGATGGGATAAACAGCAGCAGCCACACTCCACAAGGCTTCTCATAACTGGCCCTCAGGAAGGGAGCTGCCAAGAACCGCCAAGGGAGGAGAGGGAGGGGGCGGGTGCAGGAAGAGCCCATGGAAAGGAGGTGGGGAGAAGAAAAAGAGTCTTCTCACTTGTAACCAGGGTCCATGAGCTGCGTAAGGGTGCTCCTCAGTGGCAAAGGCGCCTTCCACTCCAGTGGAGACGAATGTGATGGCCATGTCACCTGTGATACTTTTATATGTAAAGTGCCGTCCATGCAGGAGCCTGCCCCTGGGGGTGGGAACATGGAGACAGTGAGCAGCAGGCCTGGCCAAGGCTCAGGGACTGTGGGGGCTATGCTCCCTGGGAAAGGGTGCCTGGCAAATGCCTTCCTGACTGCCCGCCTGTCCACTAACAGGAAACTCTAACCAAACATGTTCATTTCAACACCTTCTAAGAGAAACGTCTCACAAGTCCTCTCCTAGCATTCTTGCAAAGCACTCATAGCTAGCAGGGACACTAGGTCAGCGTTCAAAGGGTCCACTTCTTTTATATCCCGGAAACTAAGGCCAGAGAGGGCAGTTTGCAATGTGCCCAAGGTCATGCCCAGAGCTAAGAGAGAGGTCATAACCCCTTTGTTTGGAGGACAGGAATGAAGTAGCTCCTAATTTCTCACACTCCTGGATGATGGTGGAGTGCCTTCGCCTGAGTTCAGGGATGAATCTTCCACCTGCTCCTGGGCCTGCCCACAAAATTTCAATGACTAGCCCCAAGGCCACAAGCACATCTTTAAAAAAAAAAAAAAAAAAAAGCTGAAGCCAAGTGGGGTTACTTTGAGGGAGCCACAAGAAGTTACTGTTAATTTCCAGTCTGGAAATACACCTGGGGGAAGGGCAGGCAGGGGCAACTGGCTGGGCAGCTGCCGGTCAGCAAAGGAAGCAGACGTGCTTTTCACTTTCTCAAGCTGCCCCAGGTTAACGCTTCTGCTAGTCTACAGGCCCCGAAACTGGCTCAGAGAGGGGCCTGGGGAGAGAACGGCTTGGGTCCTGGCGGGGGGCCCTGCCAGCCGCCATTCATCCTGACCACTAGCTCTGCTGCCCAGGGTGGCTGGGCCAAGGCTGGTCACCATCCAAGCTCCTTCCCCAGGCTCCAGGGACAGTGTGGAGGGTCCAAACCAGTGCAACCCTCTTCCTTCCTTGTCACTGTCGTCTGAGTTTCGAGTTATTCTTGTTGCCTCCCCTGCAATAAAAGTGAGGGTGGAACCCCTGAGGGCTGTGGAGGAAGCCAGCTGCAACAGATTCAGCCCAGTGTAGCATCCCCAAGCAGAGAGCTGAATTCTGGCCACAGGGCTGGGTTTCTGGCACTGAGGACAGTAGCAGAAGAAACACAGCTGGGCTTCCTGGTCCCTCAAGGAGTCTGCTAGGCTGGCCACTGGGTCTGAAGAACTGAGTGTTTTGCATGGGAACAGCAGCAAGCAGGAAAAAACAGAGCCCAACCCACCAGAGCCCCTGCCCTACCACCTCTGACTCTGGCAGGGCCATCTGAGTCTCCTCAGCTCACTGAACCTTCTTAAGGGAGCAGGGTTGAGGGATACTTCTCTAGGTAAAGGAGAGTTCTTCAGCCCTCTGGGGGCTACTGGCTGGCTCAGAGTCCACAGGCTCCCCCGTAGGCCCACATGGAGCTTCCTGACTAGTCCTCCTCCCTCCCTGGGCTCCAGACTCCACTTAGGTGTTCGGGAGATGGTAAGTACAGGCATGGTGGCTTCTTGAGGCCAAGATGGGTGCTGTAGGGCTCACCTTAGGCAGAGAGGAATGAGGGCTCCTGACTCCTGGTTGAACTTCAGATGTACACTCTCAAGTTGCCGCGTGCGGATCAACTCGTGGGGAATAATGGCCGTGGAGCTGTCGCTTTCCAGGCTGTCTTTGCGGCTCCTGTGAAGCAAGCACAGGAACAGGTTTAGCACAAGGTGAAGACTGCAGAAAGGAGGAAGGAAGGAGGAAGATCACAGTCACTCAGGTTTGGGTCCTAAACAATGACAATGAAGGTGACCGATGATAACAATAGCCACTATCCACCAAGAACTTGCCAAGCAACTTCATAACGCCTCCATGAGGTGGGCATTATTATATCTTTTACAGATAAGAAACTGGTTCTAAAGCTGGCATCTATGGTCAACACTTTATAAACATTATGTCACAGTGACTTGTTCTCCTGTATGATAGAAGCATGCGCTTCTGGGAGTCCTTCCTCCCCTGCTCAAGAGCCTCAGATCTCGAGTTCTCCACAGCTGGGGTCCATGTCGCCTACCAGGAGACATGGCTCCAAGTGCTTTTTTCCAGATGACCCTAAAAAGGCTGTGACATCAGAGCAGGCTCTTGAGTTTGCATATTCATTCTTCATCTACCCAGGAAATGATAAAGCCTTCAGTGACGGAGTGGAAACCAGGCTCTCAGGAGTTAGACCAGCAGGCTTAGCTGGGCAGCAGAACTGGGCCACCACCCTGATGGGCTTCGAGGCCCTAGGAACCCTGTTCCAGTGTCTTCCTCACTCTTGCTTCACACTCCCTCCTGTCCTGCTTCCCACCAATAGCTCGTCCCACAGCTGGGCCATGGGTTCCCTTTGCGATCTAAATTTTGCTCTTTCAAATTCAGCTGCCCCCATTGACAACCTCTCAAATCTGCCTCAGCCCGAAATGAGGGTTACCCACTGATCCCATTCAAAAGGCCGGATCCTGGTTCAGGCTGTGAATCTCAGAACAATTCCCCAGTGTCCATCAAAACACTGGGTAAGAAGCTCTAATTATTTATCATTCAAGCAGCCAAAGCCACCCAGGATGTCTGGGCCTGACAGGCGGACAGACAGTGAGGAGCAGGCCCAAACTCCTCACACACTGGGGGGCTGAGCGCTGGGGCCTGTGGCCAATGAGGCATCCTGAGAAGCAGAGGACTTCCCCAGTGGATGTGCAGTCAGCAGGCAAGAGGATGGAGGGTGACACTGGATAGCACAGGGCTCACTGAGGCAGTGGTTTATAAAAGTCCCCGAGGTAATGGAGACTGTTCCCACCAGCTGGGTGGATCCACCCCCAGATGTATGTGACTGCTCTTTCACAAAGCATTCCCTTCCACTGGTTTCCCAAAGCCAATTCCAAAACTGCCCTTTGGTCTAGCTTCTCCTTTGACAAACCCTTTCACAAGACCTGAGGAGGAGAAAAATGCTCTGGTCAAGAGGGACACAAAATTTCAGCACTGGAAAGAAACACTGAGGCTGTTTACTCTTTTTCCTTTACAAAAGAGAGCCAGTAATGCGTCTAAGGCCGCGGAGCTGGTCTGTGGCAGGCCAGCGTGGGAGCCTTGGGGCTTTGACCAGCGCTTTTACTTACACCCTGCTGCTAGGCCTCCTGCCTCTCTTCCCAGGAAAGGACACCAGCACCACCTTTCAGAGGGTGCCCTCAAGGCCCAGACAAGAGCAGAACTCCTGAAAGACAGCACTCCTCCTTTGGTGAGCCCCTGTTCTGCTCCAGGGCAAGGAGTCCATAGAGTCACTCCCTGAGTCCTCACAGCGAACACCCCAGGTAGATTCTACGGTTCACCCTTCTTTTACAGATGGGAAAAATGAGGCTCAGAGAGGCGAGGTGACAAGCCTAAGGTCACAGAGTGAGTTTAAGTGGAAAAGCCAGGATGTGACTCTTACAATAACTTCCCTGTGCCATCGCTGACCACGGTCCATGCAGATATATGACCATGCTCCCACCACCACGCTCCCGAAAGGGGAAAGGGGTCGAGGCCTGGCTGCCAGGCAGGGCCTCTGAGCCTGCGGGGCCTGCTAGAGGGAGCATCCACGCCTCTCTGGCACAGGCAAAAATGCTGATGAATAGCAACTGGGGGAGGAGGGGTGGGGCTGGGAGAGAAGAATCAACAGCACACAGGACTAGAGACATCTCAAGCTGGAGGGAAAAATAAATTGTTGAAAGTCAGCTAAAGTCACCTTGGTAACTGCTACAACACACTCACCCAGAACCAAGGACATCAAACCCAACTGCAAACAGCTTTAAAGAAATGGAAAAGAACTTAATCATCTGAAGAATTAATGTGACAAGTGCCCACATTTACACCTCCCACCAAGCTTCAATCATTTGAAAATGTACTTTAATCTTTTAAGAGAAAAAAAAAATTGCAAAACGCTAGATCTGCAGTCCTGGAGCTTGGGTATTTCCGGCATGCTGCTTCAGTGGAAATGCGGCTGCTCCACACACACGCAAGAGCTCAGCTTTTTGCTGATTTGTTTTTTCTGGACATCGATGCAGAAGCATGAATTATTTGTGTGGGCTGGGTGAAGTATTAAATCTGCAGCCGACACAGGTTTGCAATGTTTTGCATGGTTGTTAGCTTAATCTTAGTCATAAAAAAATAAGTAGTATGCTCGCCAGCATGGCCTAATTTTCAGCTGGGCTGTTTTCTCCCTGAGTTCCCAGTGGAGGAAAAGGTAGAGCTTTCAGGGGTTGGAAGGGAGAAGGTTCCCAGGAAGTATGATCCACACCCAATAGGACCGCTGGAGATATGGGGCCAGAGGATGAAGGATGAACTACTGCCCCAGGAAGCAGAGTAGCTAACAGCACTAGTTCGGGCAGATGACTTAAACTCTCCCTAAGCTTCAGTATCCTCTTGATGGAAATAAATTACAATACCCTTTCGTTATAGGATTGAATGAGGTGACCCAAACAAAGCATCTAACAGTGCCTGCGATGTAACAGGTGCTCAGACTATAGCTGGAATGCATTAACAATATGTTAGCCGGCTGCATCTAAAAGTCTATGTGCTCCTCCTCCTGCAAGAATGTTGACAGCTTAATATAGACTGTTTGCCTTTACCCTGAGCCCATAATCCAACTGCCTCTGGCCAAGTCGGTTCCCTCTTCTGAGCAAAGGTTCTTGTCCTAAACTTGGAAAGGGGACTTTTGATATGGGGCTTGAAAGGGCTCCTGACTCCCTGAGAAGACACTGTAGGTCCTGGTCAACCACTGGTACTCTGGGAAGGCCTGACCCACTACAGATCAACGAAAACTCTTGAGGCCTTTGTTCTGCTGAGGGAGGCATAGGCAGGGCCACCTTCCTTCTAGAGAGCACAATCAGCCTTCCCACAATTTTCATCTCAACTACTTTTTCAAGGTGCCCAGAATAGTTTAATTCTCCCTCCATGACAGCCTTTTAAATCCCTGAAACCACTCTCATAGCCTGTCAACAGTATGTGTGGCCCCAACTTTCAATTATATTTTTAAGACAAGGTTCTGGAATCTTCCATCCATCCACATCACTCTCCTGCGGATTCATTCTAGCTTGTAAAGCCAGAGTGTCATGTCTAGAAGTGAAGGTCCATATGTGGAAATACAGTATGTGGCCTAATTAGTGCAGATCACAGAGGGACTATGAGCTTCCTTGTTTGGGATATTTTATTTCTATTAAAACTGTCATCAAAAATGTCCATTCCTTGTAACCTCATTGTACTATCAAATCATACTGCACTTCCCCTGTCAACGAACTCTCCCTCAGGCTTTCTCCCATGGTCTGTGTTTAGACCTCTTTGCCCCCATCTTCTAGGCCCTGTGGATTATCTGGATCTAAGAGCAGAACTCTGCATTATCTGGCTAGTGTTTTAAGCAGTCTGGAGATTTCTGAAACCTGACTCTGGCATACATCTTATTGGCATTCCCTCCTGACTTTATATTACTGACAAAACTGATAAACTTCCATCAATGTTCTCATCTCAAGCTTTGATTAAATAGTGAACAGGACAGGGCCAGGCAGACAAGCTGAAAGACTGACATCATTACTCTCCAATCAATTATAAATCAACCCAACCTATCCTATCACCAAGCCCTTCACTCTCCCAGATGCTCAGTGGACATTTTTCTGTCTTGCCAACGATACCAGAAGACATTCCCAAAATGTCTCAGTACACCGCACCTATATACAGTACTTCCTTCGTCTACCTGGTAGAAATAGGTAAGTTATTCCTAAAAAGGCAGTGAGGATGGTCTGGCAGATCTGGCTCTTAATGAATACATGCTGATTCTCAGGGCTCACTGTTTCCCTTAAAAAGTGTTCACAGCCTACTTGCTGAATAATCTAGTCTAGAATATTCCCTGAGAGTTGACACCAAGCTCACTTATCTAAAGCATCAAAGATACTTTTTGCATCCTGAAATTTCTGAGTCTGCCAATTCCAGTCTCTCATATTCCTTCAAAGATTTAAAGATTTCTGACATCAGACTCACAAATCTTATCTGTCAATTTGCCTGGGATTCTGGGACACAATACCTGTGGACCAGGAGATCTAAAATCATGGCTTCGATCCTCTTATCAATGCTTGTGTGACCCTTCCTGGTCTGATAACCATTCTTTTTGAGATGGAAACATAACAGAACTAAAGTAAATTTTACTTTATTTCTGCCACTGATTAACCTTATTCTGTCCACACAGTGGAGCCCAGGTTTTCTTCTTCTTGTTCCAAACAGAAGAACAAAAAAATAAAGTCCTTCTTGCTGGTCATAGTACTTTTTTGCAAGACTGAGTTCTTGAGTTGCAGCTTTTCTTGACCCTGGTTCCTTAAAGTCTGTGCTGGTGTAACATACTTCTCCTTTCAGCGTTTTTCCAAATTCTTCAAAAAATTTGAATTATGTAAAGAATTCTCTACATATCTATACTGGTCCCTGGAGGTATTACACCTCTTTTTAATCTTTAGGAGACTATTCACAATAATAATATTAAGAGGTACATTTTGAGTGCAGAATGTGGTACAGGTCCTAAGCTAAACTCTTTAGGTGCTTCGATTCCTCTCATTTCCATAATGACCCTATTATTTTCCTCAGTTTTACAGATGAACTGAAACTTATACTTAAATAACTAGCCCAAGGTCACACAATGAGCAAATAAAGGA